ACAAACAACACGGTGGGGTCTCTCCCACCTCACGCATCCGACGGGCACGCCGGCGCCGAGGTGTCGGGGAAGGTGAAATACCCCAAGTCATCTCCGATAGCTTCATAGCTCAAGACCGGGCCTGGCTCCCCTCCCGGTGAGCCGGACGGGGACACGTTGCCCTCAAACTGAGGAGCCGAGAGCCCTGCTGGGATTCCTTCGGGGACGTATTCCCCTACCCGGAGCCGACTCTCCCGCCCGCGCTTGAGAGACGCAGAGCACTCCTGACAAAGCGTAAACCAAGTTCTGGCTTAACACCCTCCGCCTGCGACTTAGGATAATTTTAATCCCCAAAGTGGGACCTCTCCGGTTTACTAAAATCTCACTAGTGCTAAAAGTGCAATAGATGATCAAAACCAAATTTTATTCTCTGTATTTTGATTCTTAAAATCTACCAGTCAATACCATTTTGAGACACATTATAATGAGTGTGCAAAGATTCCCCTCCCTCTCCAAAAAAGTAGTTATCTGGTATAATTTTATGATAGAATATTTTTATAAAATCATTTGTACTAATTTAAGCATTTATCATTATATGCAAAAAGATTTCTTGATGAGAATATTATAGACGGTGCATGTTTTTGACATTAGCATTTTATTTGGATGACTAATCTTGCAGATGTGAAATTTTAATGAATTATTCATGAAAAATCTCTCCTCTGAAACTTCAGTTTGCTGCTAATGCTAGTTATTAAACATTTTATTTTTCTTTATAAAACTTGACGAAGAAAATAAATGTGTGCTTACTCAAAAAAAAATAAGGTGGGTTTTTCCTTTAAAGTTTGTCCCAGGTGACACTGCGACTTGGGACTTCGCTCCTCGTGGTTTTGTGGACCAAGCGGTTGATCCTGCAAACCCCTTTTTCCATACGTACCGTGTGCGTGGAACCCCTCCTACCGAAGCCAGCAGCACAGCTCCCATTAGGGCACCGCACTTGGAAGGATTTGCACGATGAGGCCCCAAACCCCTTCTTTCATGCTCTCCCCTTTGGGGTCCAACGAGAAAGCAAGTGCCCTCAAACTCCCCGCGACCCTAATGGTCAAACGCCGATGGGCTTTCTTGGAAAAGTGGATTAATTCTTCGAATGACAGCATCTTCCTCGCTTCCAGTGCTCAAGCAACAAATGACCACCCTGTCCAGACCGGCCGTGAAACCGTCGCTAAAATAGCTTGCGGTTTGATGTGGTTGGGAGAGACCCAAGGAGACCGATGAGTCTATCCATGAACGTGCCGGGACATGGGTGAGATGCAACCAGCTGCTCCATGGACCAGCCCGGGGCCTCAGGGGATGCGACACGGGAGTCATTGGCAGGGGGAAAGGCAAAACAAAAACTTAGGACATGGCAACTTGCATTACCAGTGTGAACAACCAGCATTTTTATTGCATTTGAGAATGCTATAATGTCAGTAATTAGTACTGACTACACAACATTTTTTATTGTCTGTATCAACAGACATGGAATGATGGAATTACAGTTGATGTAAGGAATGAGTTTCTTTTATGCCTTATCAAAAAAAAAAAAAAAATCTTGTTACTGGCAGCACATACACACGAAGCACCATGCTAACAGTCTGGACTGTACCATTTTCATCAAGGCTTATGGGTAGAAGATACTTTGTTACCTGTTCTGGGCCCATTAAAATGCAGTCGTTAACTGCAAATTCACCTCGCAAGACTAGAATACTAAATGACTTCTGAAACATCTAAAAACTCACTCTGAGTTCATTAACCAAAGGTACCAAAGGATTTCAAAAGAGTTTAAACACGTTTTTTTTTTCCATGCTATAATGAACGTGAGATTATTGGCGACCTGAAAACTACAATAGTTCAAAATTATTTTAAAAAACTTTATATATATATATATTTATGTATGTATATATATAAAATATCTAATGATCTTCAATCTTTGTAGAACCAGAATCCCTGCTCCGGTCTCTTCCCGAAGCGGGAGCTCCAGGAGAGCGGAGGTGCAGGACCTGCAGCGGGACTCTTGCGAGTGAGAATCAAAAAAGGTAATTTTTTTTGTGGTCACTTATTCTACATAAGCCTTGATTTTTCATTTCACCTCTAGTTGAATGCAGAAACCTAACAGGTTTTACATTTACAAACTTTTTTTTTTTTTGTGGACAAGGAAGGCTTTGACTCTCATTCCTGACAGCGATTTACCTGATACATGGTACTACTTTCATAATGTACGCTTTTCTTTGAGAAAAAAAACATGTAACAAATTGTCTTTACATCTTGGCACCTTGTAAAGTTTTTTTTTTTTTATACAAAAGTTCAATAGTTTGACACTCCCCATTATTAATCACTACTTCACTGATAAACTTTGAAAGTGTGACCCTGGAATTCATCATGCAAAATATTTACTGCAGCAGGAGAAAAACATTTTTTTTTTTTAAACGACTTTTTTTTTTTTTTCCTTTCAAATATATGACCTTTGTTTAAGACAGCCAGAAAAGGCAGTGGTAAGATAACAGAAGGGGTGGGAAAGTATCAAAAAAACCAGCTTAAACACAAAAACTGTACAAAAATGCTTCGATCAATGATAACAGGAGAAAAAAAAAATCTGTCAACTATGTTACAATTTAAAAGCTGAAAAAAAAAGTCAGGGATTTTCTCCCACATGTCAGCAAATGTCATCCAATATTCTTAAAGCAAGGATAACTAAATAAAATACATGTGCAGCGTATTCTGCAATTCCATTACATACAGTAGTTTTTTTTTTTCAAAGCTATTTTTTTAGTATAGTTAATATAAAGCAGTTGCACAAAAAGCAAAAGGTGTTTTGACAAACAGGTCTGCATTTATTCCTTTTGAGGAATGATATCTAAAAAAAGGACCTTTCCACCTTTTCCTCCCTCCCCACCCTCCCCCCAAAAGACAAAGGCTCACACAGACACAGTGGGATATATATGTACAACATAATAAACCCCTCCCTAAAGAAGCAACTGTATATCCAAAGGGATACAGAATCAGAATTGTAAAAATCATAGTGAAGTTTGCTTGATGTAAAGCCTGAGATTTTCAGTTGGTTCTTCTGCAAGGCTGCGACACCTGCCAGATATGTTAAAATCTAATTTTTTATTTCTTTTTCTCTTTTTTTATTTTTTTTATTTTTGCTACAGTCTTTAGACTAAGCATGCAAGACATACAACTAAGTGCAACTGAGTGAAATGTATTTTTTTATTTACTCATTCCCTAACAGTTTGGACTGAGGTATGCGTACTAACAGTTTCTCATGCTGTTATCTTTACTCATGTCTAGCTACACATGCTGAGAATGAACTAATCTACCAGATTTTTATCCCCTTCTGAATACCAAACTAACCAGCAAACCACTCAGTTTAGAAGCACAGGGCTCAATTCTCATGATCCCCATCTGGCTACCGCCGGCACGTCACGAAGCTGCCTGGATATAATTTAAATGAAAAAAAAAAAAAATGTTTCAAATGACCACAGACTGCCCTTTTTTTCTTTTCTTTTTTTTTTTGTCTCTTGAAACAGAAAGCAGAGTTGAGTTTTATAAAAGTAACTGCCAATAAAATTTCTTGTACCAAAGCTTATGAGTGGACAGGAGTGTTATTTCCTTATGAAAAATGCTGACCAAAAACTAAACAAAACTGAGCAAATGTGCCAAGATCAACCAAAATTAAAGCCGTCATCCTAGCACAGTCCCGAAACAGAAGCGGCACACAATCTGTAGAACCAAAGACCAAACAATTTTTTTTTCATTTAATTCTAGAAATACTATTATGTGGTCCAGTTAAATTGTGGGAGCTTTTCTGTTCTCTTCTGTATTTTATTAAACTGCCTCCTTTATCTGATACTCTAATTTTCCGCGAAATAACTGTGTCTTTGCCTTCTCCAGCTCCCTTCTCATAGCTCCACCAGTAACACTGATTCCTAGTTTTAGCCTCAAAAGCTCTCCTCGATTCCTCTTTACAGACTTTCATTTTGGTCACTGTAAAGAATTGCAAATAAAAAGTAACAACTTTGGTTCAGACATCTACTTGGCCTTCTAAATTTTCTAGAATAAAGGAGCAGTTTCCCTCTCAGGTTAGCAATAGCCCACATCTTGTCATTTCCCTCTAAATTCTTCAACCTCCTTTGATCAACAATAAGAGGATATTTGGCTTCATAAGATAAAGCATATAACAGAGAACATAATTTACCTTTGTGTAATATCTTTGGTAATTTTAGGAAAAAAAAAAGGTACAAAGAAGAATATAAATTAAGCTCTGAAAGGCTTTTTGAAATAATAAAAAAGCTACAGTCCTACATAAATAAATGAGTGACGGAAAAGTGGTTGCAGAATGAAAACGTTTAGGTGTTTGGTGACCGAGGTTTACTGACCTATCGCAACAGATTTTGTATGTCATGTTTGCTTTGAAGAGCCTTGCTGGTTTTGCCTAACAAGCCCCAGCGCAAATTCTCTCCCAGCTCTCCTGTCTCCTACGGCGAGGTTTCCATACTGGCTGGTGTAATATTGCATAACAATCTTAACTGCAGTACTGGATTTGCACAGCTGAAAATTAACACTTTAGCATTAGTGGGGCTCCGTCCTTATTAACTCCCGTAACAAGTTCAATCTGAAATCTAATTTGTATTCAAACAGATTAATGCCACCAAGCAATCCTGAACTGATGTTTAACCGTGAAACATCACCACGTACAATAACAGTTTAATGAAGTCATCTTTCCAACCACTATTTGCAAATGCAAATGCAAAAAGAAAAAAAATAAATTGTAATAATAAACGTATAGGTGCCCATCTCGGTAATCTTAGATATTCCAGAAAGACTCGTTGACCCATTAGGACTCGTGTTAAACAACCGAGAACTTGCCACTGTACTATTCATCCTCTAATAAAAGTGAACCCTGTTGGTGCTGCATATGTTTCTTTGTGCTGTTCAATTTTGTGGCATTTGCTAATATTCACCGTTGCTGCCAAAGAAAAGAAAAAAGAAATAAATCAAAAAACCCAAACCAAAAAAAAGAATTAAAAATACTGCTTTGTGGAATGAATCTGTGTTGCTTCCTACAGTGTTTCTATGTTCATCTGTCATTCATTCTCATTCTTGCAGTACTTCGTTCCTCTCTCTCCGTTGGACAACCCTTCCACATGTATAGTGCAGCATTTGGGACCTTTTCAAAAAACAACAACAAAAAAAAGGAGACACCGAAATGGAATGTTTCCCATAGCTAAAGAAAACATGGTGGCATCTGAAGGAAACTGGAATGAATGACAGAAAAAACTACAAACGATTCAATGACATTCAGCTTCGTATAATAAAAACACCTATTGACATTCATCACAAAGTACAGAAAACGTTGAAGCCTCCGAGAGGCCCTGGGCCCAGATGAGGCCTGAGGTCAGAACTTAAAATGGTAGAGGAGAAGTGGGGCGGGGGAATAAAAGCAATACATTAAAAAGTTTGGGATAATTTTTTCTTTTAACCCCTCCCCGATATACACGCTCACACGCACACACACATATCCACACACGTGCACACACAGGCCTTCCCCATCCCAAATGGAAGCGGAAAAAAAAAAAAAAAAAGAAACCAACCAAAAAACAAAAAAAAATGGAGTAAAGGCAGTGATAATCAACATGCAGTACTGTGCAAATATGTTGTCCATTGGAATCCTTAAAATCTGGGCAAAGACTTGATCTGCAGTTCAGGTGTACATGCTCAGTTTGATGTCCTCAAGTGTCCAAAATTGGCAGGACCTGCAGTCCACAGCTGGCTGCTAAATGCAAGTGAATCAGTTTAGCAAATTTACAACACTGATGTTGACTGTAAGAGAGGAAAATCCCAAGTACCAAACAAGTCCATCCAATGCACAGAGTACAAATTCCTTTTTTCAACAAAAAGTAGAAAAATCAAAAATACTCCCAAATGGGATACTTGATGGCACTAAGAGTTAACATATTTCATAGTTGTCAAAGTGGACTGAGAATCCTCCAGACTGTACAATAATGGAGAGATTTCACAGCTAAGTTTGACGTGTTCTTCCAATCTTCATTCTCAGGGTAACGATGTCAGACATACTCATTCTATGTCCTCATTTACAGGTTCATCTTCATAATCTCTGTCGTGATCAAAATCTGGACTGTGGTTGGCTGTTGTCACTAAGGATAGCGGGCCTTCATTTTCATCTGGATCTAACGGTTCTTCTTTGACATGCACGGGGTGCCTGGAAGAACAAAAATACGGTCAGTCGGCAAGTTGCTGGTTAAAGAACAGTTTTGACAGCTCGAGTGGTTTGGGGAGAAAGGCGAGGTGGTTTGGGCGTTCAGACCCGGTGTGCCAAGCCTAGAAGCTCCAGGTCACCAAGGAGAAGACCCTCAACTTCTGCGCCGGCCACCAGAGGCAAGCGAAGGCTACGCCGGGCAGGCAGCGCTCAACTTCCCGGGGAAAACACTCTGGGAGGATCACCTCGATAGGGTTTCCATCTCGGGATCGAGAGAGAATGCTCTCAGCTGACATATTAAGTTGATTAATACAATCTTTGGATAAATAAGCGGAATAAGCATCTGAACAGCAAAGCAGCAGTTTGTCAGCCTGCCGAGCCGGCGGAGGCTGGGCTAATCATCGCTCGCTGTGTGTGCGGCATCTCTCGTTAACATGCAGAACCTGTGAGACAACTCTCCAGAGGACGACCCCAAGTGAGGTTCTATCATTAATCAACTTCAAGCAAACACAGCAAAGAGACACCATGATACATGCTTTAAACTCCAAATTAATGCATATTTTTACAAACTGTCAATAAGGGAAGAAAAGCCCTGCCAGGAAACACAAACAGAGAGGAAAAGGCTCGCTCAACACAACAATATGATAAGAAAGCACAGTCCTAACGAGAATAATAACACTGTCAGCTGTAAACAAGGCAGAACATGATCCCCGGCTCATGGTGGGCACAAGGATGTACTAAAGAGATGAGATCTGCCAAATTTCTCATTACGGCATAGCACATGAATAACCCGCAGGGGAACAGGGCTTGGTCATTCAAAACGGGTATGATAACAATTGAAAAATGTTGTTCGTAAATCATATTTACAACAAATCCTATACAAATACAAATTACCTTTTTTTTTTTTTTTTTGTTCGGCAGCTTTTGAAATGTAAAATAGCCATGTGAGTCAATAGTGTCTTGTTGGTGGGACTTTATAGGAAAGTAGGATTTTATTGACATTACCAAGTATTAATAATGCGACACAGCAATGGAGACCCTGTTTGCTTCCTAAATAATTGATGTTGTAGGCAATCCCTTAAAATAAAGTGTTAATGAGTTCAAGTCCCACTCTGTCTCTCATTGAGTTGATATCCACCTCCTAGAGTCTTGTTTTTTCTCCATGCAGGCTGATTTAACCCTTTCATGTAGGCTACGTGAAAACATAACCCGAAGTGCAAACCTTCATTTGTAAGAACTTCTTCTCTCCTTGCACAGCTTTGCTTTAAAATGAATGATTTAAAATAGCTCCATTTTATTTTATGTTTTGTGTGGATAGGAACGACAATACTGTTTGTACTCCATTGCACTGACGGACAGCAAGAATAAATCACCAACCAGGGAAAAGGTACTCAGTATCCACGTACGAGCCAAAGGTAACCCTGCCTATTTCAAGTGACCAGGGTGAACCAGTTGTACGCTTGTATAGTGTGCAAAGCTGTATCGCACCCTATTTATTTATTTCGGCTTGAGCCTGGATCTGTTTAGGAAGCATCTAACTTGCTGACTACACACATTTTTAACGTGAGCTGTGAATGCCTTTCAAGTCCCTGCATATTTCAACTTCTTGAGTTGTAAAGTGCTAGATCAATACTTAAGTACTAACTGCACCTTCCAGCCCATCCAACAAAGGAACGGTGAGGAGAAGCGATGCAGTATCCACGTACACACACCTTTTCCCTTCAAATTCACAAATAGGTGTCCTATCAACACATCCCTGGGAGCAAAGAGGTTCTTCTGCATGTCGTGTAATTTTTGCAAAAATTACAAGGAGAGAGACATTGCTCATACAATTTTGACCTAATTGTTGAAAAAGGGGGGGGGGGGAAAAAAAAAAAACGAGGAGACGATTCAAATATCATCAGAGAATTTATTTATTCAAATAAATTCTTAACAGAGGTTAAGTATTAGCATAAGCATGTAAAAAGTCTCGCAAGCAGATCGTCATCTCAGAGGTGTGTATGTGCTAACCCTTCTGGCGGCTCCTGGCCTGAGCCAACATGAAACCATGCTGATTATTTGCAACTAGAAAAACTTATATTATGAATGGGCTGTGGGGGCCTCACTTGGGAGAAAACATAAAATGAAAACCAGAAGAAAAAGGGGGAAAGAGCGGCTACACATAGAGACCGGTAAAGCGTGTACTACTCGGCCTTTACGGCAGGGATCTTTTTTACTGCTGTTTTAATTTAAAGGACTTGCTTGTTGGCCTTCTGGTTTTGATGCTGCTGCTGGGCTTATTTTTGGTTTTGGTTTTTTTTTTTAAAGTATTATTTTTGAAAACGCAGATGGGAAATTTTCAAAGGAGAGAGGAGAACGCGGGTCACGTGCAGCAAAGGTGGCCTCAGCACACGGACGGGCGTTTCTCCAACGGCTGCTCAGGGGCCACGTCTCCGTGTCCCACCGCATCCCCGCACCGCCTCGTGCTCGGCCAGAGGGCAGACGTGAACGGGTGCCGGCAGATAAGATAGGTACCCGCTGCACTCACAACCACCCAAAATGCTGTGAAAGTTCCTTCAAAGGCCCCCAAACCTTTCCAAAGCAAACTCTGCCCCCCTTCTGGTTTTGTTATGAAAGCAGGTGAAACCAGGTGGTTTTAACTGAGTTTCTCTTTGAGGTTTGGTGTGGTTCCCAGAAATCGAAAAAAAGCAAAACTTCAGGAGTGAAGAGCAAAGCAAGCACCAAGTTATGAAAACGGCTGCCTGACCCCGAGCGAGACAAAGCCAGAGAGGGCCACAAAGCCACGGGGAGGCACAGCCACGCCAGCCTCCTCCAGCAGCTCACGTGATGGACAAACGTCAGACAGCGAGCTTGGCAAAAACTCCATCCCCCAAATTAGGAGGGTTATCTGGGTAATACAACCCCCCCTGGGGAGAGATCTGCATGGAAAACGACGACGACAAAAAATTCAACTCCTTGTGTCAGTTGACACCACAAAGTGGTGTGTGAGGAGGAAACCTTACTGAATCCGTGATTTTACTCAAACATTTCAGAGCAACTGAAATAAGTAAGCTTAAATAAGCTCAAAGGCGAAGGGAGACCTCTGTCTCCCTCAAGTAAGCCTGAATCTGTATTTACCACCTCACCAAACCCCCAAACCGGGGAAGGAAAACTTCCTTTAGAGACTAAAGAATTCAGTCTTTTTAATTACAGAAAAG